CTTTCCCTGACCCTTATCTGTCAGGGCTGTCAACTCCACCAGTGCGTGATCACTGCAGCCCAGGCTGCCTCCTATCTTGATGTTGCCAATTAGCCCACTGGCATTGGTGACCAACAGGTCCAGTATCACAGCCCCTTTGGTAGGGCTGTCACTATCTACATCTTCAATTCAAGTCTTCCTGGCGCCAAGATGTCCAAAAGCGAACAGCACTGCAGCAGTGTGTTACTGAATAATTCAGATTCCTCCGATTCAGTAATTCTGTATTGAGTCCCACAGTCGTCTTATAATTGTATAAGCCCAAATCCCATTTTTTGATCCATTATCCCCTTTTCTCCCTTCCATCTATTGCTGGTTTTCAAGCACAAACCTCCCAGTAGGGAGGTAAGGAGAGTTTTGGAGACTCCTAATTAAAAGTTTATCCCACTTACTGCTCAGTTACTCCACTGGATGGCCATGGAAATGCAGTTGTAAATGAATGAATGTGTGGGGAAAAGAAAAAATCTCTAGATACATGTATCAACCAGATAGAGACAGCCCTAAAATTTAAGGCACACATCTTTAACATAGTATTTACAAGACAATAGTTAAAATGTGTATTAAAATAGCAATGTAAATTTTGCCATGTTATCTAAATCAATTTTCCAAACCCTGGCCATGACTTTCATCCAGTGCAATAGAACCAGTACAGCTGGATGGCATTTTGAAGGCACAAGCGGATGAACCCCAATAATTCTTCCATCAGTGAGGACTCAATGTAATACATTTCCCCAAGGAAAAGAACTACCTACCGCCTGTCCCTTCACAGGGGTAGCTAATATTTATGGCCTCTCTCCACAGAGATTGAAAGCAATGGTAACAGTCTGCTGGGCAATCCTGCCTCCTAGCAGCAGACAGGAAGATCCCACCAGTAAGTCATTTATAATACAAGGACAAGGATGGTGTTGAAAACGCAGTTTCAGCACTGTGCGTGGTACCATCTTCCATCTCTGTATTTCAAAGAGAGCAGGTCCCAGATAGAGCCTAAAAGTCCTCCAAAGACTGGCCAGCATCCGTCACCTCAGCTGGATAGCCCCAGTCAGAGCTCTGTTGAATGTCCTGGAAAAACAGCTGCTGTTGGAGGCTCTTTAGATTGTTTAAGACCTCTGGAGAGAGTTCATGGAAGACCACCTGTTTTTCCTGATCCTCCTCCTCCTCTTCCTCCTCCTCCTCCACAAGGTCATCAGGAGGCAGAGGAGAACATCTAGAGATGTAGCCCTGGTCTGACTGCACTGACTGTCTTTGGTCTTTGTGCTGGTCATCAAAGACCAACTGGTGTTGTTCGTCAGCCTCCTCTTGGCAGAGAGATGGCTCAGAAGGAATGACACTCTGCTGATAAAGAGAGTACATGAGTCCATTCAGATGGTGCCTCAGTTCACCTGAGAGGTTTGCAGGACTCTGGTCGTCTATCGCTGAAACTTCAGAGTCATCGTGGAGGACGATGTTATTCCTTGCTGGAAAGCTTGTCTCCAGAAGAGGAACTCCTTCCATACAGTCCTCATTACTCAGCACATGATGACCAAGTATATTTCCATCTTCCATGGAAGACACTGGCTCCACTACCTGAACTAGAGGAGCCTCATCCGTAGGAAGGACAATAGTCTGAGAAGTTGAATTCCCACATGGATTAAGTTGAGGTTGCATTTTACAGCCCCCACTTTCACCTTCATCCATGTGGAGGTTGATCACGTAACAGCAGTTTGGGTCAGGCTCCCGTAGGTGCAGCTGGTGTCTCACAATTCCACCCGGTTCACTTGGCAATGAATCCACCTGGCCCTCTCTGTTTAGGGACTGCAACTCTTCTTCATTATCCAAGCAGACGGTTTCACTCTCAAACCAGTCTGGGTGCTCTGTTTGCCAGTTCTTGAACTTCTGTACTGCCTCTTTCAAATTCCTCCCACTAGGGGTATCAATATAATTTTCAGCTGTGATTTCCCGGATTCGATGGATGCGCCCAGGTTCAAACTTCTCCAAGTCCTGAATCCGAAAATAAATATCCTCAAACTTGTCCATCAGTTGGTACCTGGATGTGACGTTGAACAGATCAGGTATATCTTTCTCACTGCTTATCCCCTCAAAATAGCAGACTATGTACATTCCAAAACAGGCTGGCTTCTTGAAATCTGGCAGGATCAAATTCAAGGCTGGGGTGAACAGGTCTCCCATTGGCTTTTGCTGATCTTGCTTGAGACACACAGGCTCATTCCCAAGCATGGCCTGCCATTTGGCCTGGGTGCCCCGTGAACATAAGATGATGATCTTTGAACATAGGTCTTCCATTTCCTTCTTCTGTCGAGTAAGCCAGGGTAATGGCCCTAACTCTGAGATCTGATGATCTTCTAGCAGATCTAAAGCTACAGCAGTGCCACAGACAGTCATCAGAAACTCAGCAAACTTCATCACCACATGCACGTACAGCAGGTGATCAGCAGAGTACACAATCCAAACCTTTCGGGGCTTCAAGGGTGGCAGAGGAAGGTCAGTATATGGTGCTGCTGAAAGACAGAAAAATACTCATCCCAACCACATTCCTGAAACTGTAATGGTGCAAGCCAGCAGAAATCAACATAGAAGAATATTAACAAAGGGTTTTAGCAACTATCAGTTTTGAAGCTATCTTGGCAACATACACAGACAACATCTCATTGTAGAAATTTAATATGGAAGTCCAGACAGTGGAGCTGTAATTTGTAATAATGCCTGGATGGTTCATGAAATTTCACTACACACAAGTAATACACCAGCTTCAAGAGGCTTACAAATGTAGCTATATTCTCTGCTGGAGAGCCGAGTGCACCCACCTCAAAACAATCTCCTGTTCCTATGGCTTCGATGAATAGCAAAGGTCTTTTGCCAGTAAAGCCTCAGCTAGGTCAAAAGCCCTACCACTTTACAAAGCAATTATCTCAAATCTGCCAAATATGCCGTTCCAAATTCCATATTCTCTGTCCAAGGCTATTGGTTCTTACAGAGTTTGTTTTCGCTCAATAGAAAGATCTTAAGGTTACCTTTTGGTTTTGAGAAGCACCTATAATGTAGTAGAGCCCATGAGAGCCCCTTGTAGACAATCATGTGAAACTTCCAGAATGCATTACACGTACTTGACAAAACACAGGCAGGACATCTTACCAGTTTGCATATCATTGTGGCTGCATTTCCCTCGCCGGTGTCCTGGAAGAAAGAAAGTCACCGTCAGTTCTAAAAACAAGAAATAAGATAAGACCTTTAAAGTGACAACCTCCTCCAAAGATTTGGTTAAAAAAATAATCTTTAACTGGGCAGGGATAAAGACTTAGGGAGGTAGAAGCCTAATAAAAAAATACACTAAATGAACAAAGACTCCTCTACAGCCAGTTTTGCTGTGTACTATGCTACATTTTTCACTTGAGAGAAGGAATGCAGTGAAATCCAATTTTCTCCATCTTTGCCATATCTGGCTAGCCTCTCAAGAAATACAGAAACCCCAACTGTTCTGCTACTTCTCGTTAAAGCGAAAAGACCCTCTTCTCTGAAGAGGTAACTAAAATGTCCCTAGCTACATCTTATAGATAAATTTGATGTTAAGAAATTTTCCAAAAGATTCCAGATTATTATCTCGGGTAAAAAACCCCAGCAAGCTGCACAGTTTCGCTGTGATAACTGCCTCATGGTTGCAGCACAAAAGACTAGGAATCAGTCCTTAAGTACTCAGGTTTCCAACCTGCTCAGTGTCAACCTGCATGCCCTGTTTTTCTTCTTATTAAACATTATTTTCTTCTTATTAAACATTATTTAAGCTCAAAATAGTACAAAAATGAATTTTGTAGAGACTTTGGGGGACAAGGGAAAGACTACAGTCTGGACAAACAGGAAGCTTCTGTCCTGCAAAACTCTTACGCAATGCAGTAGAAAAACAAATGGAAAAGATATCTGTGGCAATCCGCAGAAAACAAAGGGCTGAACTATGAAGTTCCTCTTTCCCCTCATGAATTCTGAAGCACTATGAAAATGGAGCATCAGACAGCATAACCCATGGAAGGCTTTACTAGGTGGATGGTATTGGGATGTTACAAGTCCCATGACATAAACCAGAAGGTGTTTATATAGGCATTAACTCAGTGGCAAGACATCAGAACAGCAAGGAAAAAAAAGCTAGCAATAGGAAAGAAGTACAGAAGTAGGAAAAATATAGTTTCAGCATTTAATCTTTTCTTCCTAGCTGGTATGAGTCTTACCTGCTCGTTTTTTGGTCATACAAATCACACCTGCTATGACTGATCCCACCAGTACGACACAGATCCCCGTGATACACCAGTAGAGCCATATAATCATATCATCTGCAGCACAAAAATAGCACTCAGACATTGCTTCACACCAACAGAGTTTCACCAAAGCACAGAAGTTGCTTGAGCAGCAGGGGCCAAGTGAACAGGACCCTGGCTCTGCCCAAAACAGCAAGCAGTCCAGCACTTCCCCCTTACAACATACCACAGTCACTTCTCAAAACGAATTCCTGCTTTCATGATGATGCTCTACACCATAAACTTGCTCCACAAAGAAATATATGTGCCACACATCGAAAACACAGATCAATAACCTTCCTCTAAATAGCAACGTTTATCCAGCTTTGACAGGCATGCTGCCCATGTCCCACCTGTTCGTGTAATCTGTCTCAAAAAAAAAATTTACCATTTTGGGTGATGTTTTGGGTTTGTTTTTTTTTTTTTCTTCTTCAATGTACAGGTGTTTTTTTTGTTTTCAAATCTTGGACAAACTTGCTCCTTACAGGTGTTGTTGCAGCAAAAGAAGATATTAAATCATATGCACATGATTTATCTTGACATTCTTAAAGATGAATATATGCAAGTTATTCTCTCCAAAAGCTGCTTTATATTATGCAAATTTTTTAACACTGAGCAAAGTGACAGCAAGTATTTTATATTAAGACTCTTCTTGTCAAAACTGTTTCTCAAAGAATTTTATGCAAGTGAAGTATCTCTAAAAAATTGCTTTTTAAGGTTCACACTGCATACAAATACTTGCCTCGTTAAACCATGGTGAAATCACTCTTAACACAACTCATTCTGAACTCAGTGTTACAAGGTGTCATTTCCCACCCCCTGGGTCATACCCAGGGAGGATAATTTGTTATTTTCTATGACAGGAAAAGAGCAGTAAAAAAACATCTCAGGGTATTGGAAAAACTTCTTACCTGATGGGTTGGTACCTGAAAAAGACAAGAGTTACATTAAAAATTCAGCTCTCATCTGTAAGACAATCCTATATAGGGAATCTAATATAAAAAACAGCAGTTCTCACTTGGAGCTGGTGAACATGGGATGAAAGCAGAGTGTCTCAGACAGTCTGTGCCACAGTTCACAAAGAATGGCTGAATCTGCAGTTGAAATAAATTCAGAAGACAGAAGCTATTCTTAAAGGCAATTTTGTTCCCCACTTTACTTTCCCCCTGCCTTGACACTGCCTGTACTTTAGCACAGGGACACAGAATCCCCTTTTCCCTTCATAAAACAAGATTAATCAAGAATTCTTACACTATACATTAAAAATGCAGTGAGCTCCTGAGGCTGCACACGTACCACCCCCACTCCAGAGTCTCTGACTTGGCAACCACATACTAAGGAAAAGCTACTGTCTACAGAGAATACCGATATGAAAAAAATCATTCTTTCAGCGAAATAATTATTTCCCTGATACAGGTAATTAGGGATTAGCCAATCTCAGAACAAAATGCTGTGCAAAAAACCGTAACATTCCTCAGCTTCTCACTGCCTTGTTGGTGAAGGAAGGACACGAGGACAACAGTGAGATCCTACCTGTATTTTGTAGTTGCAGCAAGCTCTTATGTTCCTCTCTATTTTGATTGTGACATTTACTTGCTCTTGCAGTCCACTCTACAGGAAGTGGAAGGAAGTGAAGGAAGAAAATGAATGAAAGCAGCAAAAGGGAAAAGGAGTTGACATGAGAATATGGAGTGGTTCAAAGAAGCAGAGGTTTTTTTTTGTTTTTTTGAACACGAAGACCACAGAGAACAAAACAGGTAAATTGTCTGGCCACCATCACTGCAGGTGTCCCGTGTGACAGACATGGTAACACAATGAAGACAGCAGGCTAAGGCTGCACAGGTAACAGGAAACAATTAAGGATTTACATCGTACAACTTCACATGTGTTAACTTAAACTTACAGTTTCTTAACAATGTAAATGTCTTCAGTTATTTATGTGTAAACGTTAACAAGCTTCCTTGTTTAATTAAAACCAACTGTCAACAATGCTGCTTCTGACACTAGAACAGACAAACAACTTGCCCTTGTTACCTGTTATATGCAATCAGTATCATGATACTCTAAATGTATTCTTTACAATGATTAGCAGATACATACTCCAAAATGAGGTTTCCCTCTACCAGCTGTACCAGCTGTGGGCATATGAGCTGTGTCAGAAATCACTTAATACATATTCGTGCATGCAGTAGAAGGGTTTTAAGTGTGGAAGGAATGGAAAGATTAAACAAACTGAACTCCAGTATATCTGCCCTCCCTCAAGGAAGGGTGGGGACTGGTACCAAATAGTCAGCATTTCTCCTTCTGCAAATGCCTGAAGAGGAACATTTCTCATGTCAGAAGACACTCTGGATCAACTTTGAGCTTCAAGACAGGCAGCAAGATCTACAGGAATTGATTGTTTGATTGAAACACCTGTAACAAAACCACACATCCTTGATCTAAAAAATTTAATTAACACCCCCCCCCGGCTCTGCCATCACATTTGATGAAACTACTTCAATGATTTATTGAAATTTTGCATCTCAATTTTGGTTGATTTATTTCGTCTTATCCTCCAGGTATTAGCTTGACAAAGGTAAATCCCAGACAGTCAAATATCAAATTTCGATTTTCTTTGCAGATGTTTACAGACTGCTCCAAGCATTATAAAACCTCTTGCATCGTTTATCCACCAAATTCCCGAAATGAAGTTTCTCTTTCCAAAGGCAAATTAAAAAAATCTGTGAAAATAATTCCTTGAAAATTGCTGTTCAAGTGCATTTGTTACATCTCCTACATCATGGCTCCAAGTCCTCATTTAACAACCATTACAGAAATGTTTGTCAAATTTACCACAGAGGGCATCATTTAGGAAGCTAATTACCTCAGTGAAATCATGTGTGATCATTTTACACTTCTTCTCATTCAGGAAACTGGCCACATGAATTTGGTATCGGGCTGACTCCATCCATGGGTTAAAGCTCACAAGCAGAGTTGTATCATCTAGACTTTTACCTTGGATCCTGGGCTCCCACAAGCTGCCTGGAAGTAGTGCAGATATTCCCAAGTTTATCAACTATCAGAAATATTTCAGCAGAGCACCCATGTCTACATGACTCAAACAAAAATTTTTACCTGTCTTTATACATGGGGTGGTCCTTTTCATCAGAGAGTCCTTGCAGTCTGCAAGAAAAGATTGTCAGTGACTAGTCAGAAACACTGTACTTCCATTTAGGAAAAACAACCATTTTATCATCAGAAGCGAGACACCTAACCAAGCCCTGCTCAATGAGTAAAGACCTTTGTTCCAAAGCAGTAGAAAAATTCTGCAGTAGAATAGTATTGGTTTCCAGTCTATAAACTAGCCCCTCCACTGTGGGTATTTTTTTTCCAGAAAAACACTCTACGGTGGTGTTTTTTTTTTCCAGAACAGAGATAATTAAGAAGATTGAAAACATACAATATTTATTATAACAGTAATACTTGACTACCCTTGCTAATGTAAGACTCATGTAGAGAGTGTAATTAAAACTTCATATCGATCTCTGGACCTCGAGAGCGCCACAGCAACAGACTCCTCCAAAAGCATTCTGCCCCAGGAAAACTAGGAGGCTAGAATCTTTCTTGATCCCCAAACCCTCTTCCACATTTATAATTCTCTCTGCTTCATTTAGCACATTGGCCCTGCTCTTTAGGACCTTCTTCAGAGTCAAATCCAGAGTGACATATTCAATATTTAGCAATGTGGGATTTCCAAGTCTCAGTCTAAACCGCATCTTCTCCAGGGTTTGGACAAAGGAAAAGGAACAACTCCCTGCTTAAACAGTTGAAATAAAACATTGCATATCTTAAGTTTCCAACTTTCAAAGTTAGAAATTTTACGGTGCCCCTGTAATTCACATGTAAGCTTCTAACCAGCACAGCTCCCTGCAAGTACTGAGCTTGACACAACACATTTTCTGAAGAACAGTGGCAGGTAAAAGCCAAGAAGTTCTTAGAGTGGCCAGGTATAATAATGGGTAAGCAGGCTGAAAATCAAGTGCCCACTCTTCTTTCCCAGGTCACAATGACTGACACGTCACTTGCTTCGACATTTTGTAACCACGAAGTCACGTTGACAACTATAAGCAATGTAAGAAGAAAATTCTGAACAAGTTTTCAAGCTCTGTATTGAGTGCCATATATTTATAAACTAGTCAGTGCAGCCAGAGGGCACTGCAGACGCTCAGCATCTTCAGACAAAACAAAAGAATTCTTCTTAGTTATATGAAAATTTTCACATCCACAAGAAAGTCAGGCACTCAGCTCTATCAAGTTTCTTGGTAAATTATGCCTAACTGTGTCTTTGAAAACAAACTTCACATGTCTAAGATTTAATATTAGAAGCCAAACTTCACTCCTTCCGACTGGGAAATTCTGGCCTGTACTTCCAGCTTCCACAAGCAGAGAGGCAACTTCAAAAGGTTTCGGATTCAGTAAAAGCAGCAGCGATAGTCTGCAGAGCACATGAAAGATTACTCTACACTCCCATTTGTGTAGATGAAACATCTTTGTGCCTGCTCCACCGATGAACATTTCAGCAACAAAACCCAGGAGATGTAGCTTTGCTTCAAATAGCCCCTCAGAGGGGCACCTATACTAGTTATCAGGTTTAACTATGAATTTCTCTTCAGCCATAACTGTAGCAGAATTCTTGACAAGCAACAAATGCAATTTCTCAGAAACCAGAGGCCCAAGTCCAAGGCTTTGTCCGGCTTTCTAGAGAGCATATAAAGATTTTCATAGTAATATCTTCAAGGAAATACAGTCAACCAGAATCAAAGGATCTGGCCTTCACCAAATAGTCCCTCCATGTGCACTTTATTCCAAGCAGAGATTTGACAAACTACTGCACACAGGATCCCAAAAACAAGGGTGGCGACTTGTAGCATAAATGACACACACACTTTGGATATATACCACAGGGGTATTGTAGGTAAGGCTACCACCATGGACCTTCTAAACAGCAGTATTCAGAAAAGGCAACAGGTTTTTATAATACTGTCACCCTATTGCCAAACTTGCTCACAGTTCATGGGTCTGGTCTGGAAAAAAAACCACCAAGAATTACAGGTCCACAAAACACCACAGACCTAAGCTCAAGGCCTAAGTGAACTAGAGCATCTCTTACCAGGCATTGTGAGAGACTTGGACTTGCAATTGTAGTCTCCACGTACACCCAGTTTGGGCAGGTGATAGACAGTCACTTGGTAAGTCTGGCCAGGTTCCACTTCAAAACGGTCAAAAGTGAAATTCCACTGAAAACAGAACACATTCACAAGGACTTAAAACAAGTTGTCCTATAAAGGCAGTGAAGTCAACAGCCAACCTGGTCCTGTTCCACTGCGTTCCCTCATCCCATGAAACCCTTTTTCTGAAGCTTGTCTATAAAAAAACAGAACTCAGGTGTATCAAACATACTAGTCCCTTGGTGTACCTCAAACTCTTCTGATAGGAATGAGAAAAGCACAGTTATTTCTCGGAATCTCTGAACTGATACAACAGTCTCATGCCAAACAACTGTGTGGAGTTGCCACTTAATTACATTCTGAACTGAAAGGAAATACGGCTAAACTATGCAGTTTTGATACTGAAATTCTAGTCTAGTATGAATCTTGCAGTGCTAAGCAAGTGCTAAGCATTTTGAATTGCATTTATACACATATAGTTCTGTACCTGGCCATTCCATACATGTTTTCTTAAATCTATACCGTTTTCCACAAATCAGCAATACTGTGCAAATTCTGGGAGAGGTACTGGCTCCATATGGTAAGTAAACTACGGCCCAGTTCTGTGTGGTAAGGAACAAATTCCAGATTCCTATTGTTCATAAAGGGAGCTGTGGATGCTTAGCACTTTGCTGATGGGTTTCCTAGACTGAGTGTATGCTGAAGGACCACCCCCAAGGTTGGTGCTCTCCTCCACAGCAAAAGAGTATAAGAAAGAAGTGAAAGTAAAGGAAGGCTTGAGTTAAAAAGGCTATAAATGTCACGAAAGCAAAAACTCCCACAATTATTCGCTTTAAGCTACATCCAGAAAGATGACATGTGCTAGCCACCGAGAGCAACAATTCTTAAAACCTGAAAGATGGGAAGCGTGAAAGAGAAACCAAGATAAGTAAGCAGCTTGTACATGGTTACACACAAGTGTAAAACAAACTGGAAACAGCAGCAGGTCTCAAGCCCAATATCTCGATTGTTTCATCAACTCCTCTAGCAGTCTGTACTTCTTAATCAATGATCTTGCTGGATGACAGTGAAAGCAGAAACAAACCCACAGACTTGAAAAAGTAGTTTTGAGCCCTTCGCACTCACCCGGCCTCCGTCCGGACGGACCTGAAGTGGCAAGTTGTTCTGAAAGTCAAACTGAGCACACATCTGCTGATTGCTGTTCACCTGCATCACAGCCAGCTCTGCCCCTCGGAGATACCGGATGCTAGCTGCAGGCACAGGGACAGAGACAAGTGTCTTTTTCTGTCAGTGGCACATGTAGAGGTTGCAGCCCCCACAGAGATGACCGCTGTGCCTAGTCTTGTCACAGTCTTACTCCTTTGAAGCACTGGGGATCCCAACACAAAGACAACTGGCCATGAAAAAGTGAGCATGCAGGGCTGACTAACAGCACGTTCAGCTTAAACGTTGTGCTGCATGGCAAGAGCTCTACCTGGGCAAATGAAGGGGCAGAGCAGAAGGTAACTTCATTCTTCCAGACACCCTGGCAGTTCCACAGGTTCAGCGCTGTGTTTAGCTTTGCCTCTCAAGGCTGCTTCATGCAGTGTGGGCACCAAAGCAAATATGCTTCTATTTTGGTACAGACAATCCCAGTGCAAAAGTTTATAACCATAGCTACACAAAACGACTAGGTTACCCGATTCTTATCTGCTTCTACACTACTATAGCTATACTGAGATAACAACTCTGTGTAGCCCTCAGACACAGTTCCTGCAGAAGGAAGAAATGAATGTGCTTGTTTGTGTCTTGAATCAGCGCAAAACCATGGACAAGAGCATGCATGGGAAACACCACATAGAAATAAACAAAAAATAATCAAAAGATATTTGGAGAGTGAGAAAACTTGACTTACTGGTACTTGTTTAGGCTCCAACAATGAGACAATTATTCCTTTATCAAGACACATCTGCATATAGGAAACCTAAGTTACAAGGACTAGATTACCCAGAATGGGAGGAACTTGCACTGGGTAACAGCGCATAAGCTATTTGTGCTCTCTCAAACGAAATCTCGTTTGTTCAGTTCACAGATGCAATTCCCCTGCACAAGACTGCTGCAGTCATTCCTATGCCTTGAAAAGGCAGTGCTTGCCATGCAAACCTCCTTTCCAAAAGGTGTGGGTCACATGATTCCATTTTTATCTGCTTTTCCCATTTGAAATGTCATTATCCCACACTAGTGGAAACATTTAAAATTCTTGAATACCCAGCACACAAAGCCCAGATCGGTCACCAAGAAAAAACAAAATCATCCCCCAAAACAAACAAAACGAAGCAGCCAAACTCCCAAATTTGAAAGCTCTGCTTTCATGACTATATCAGTAAAAGACTTCAAGTCATACTTCTCCTCCCTATCCTTACTAGATCACACTTAATTCCTCTGCTCCATGTTCACGTTAAACAATGACCACTCACCATCAGTGGCCACTTCCCATTCTATCCGAAGCACAGGGAGCAGGTTTCCATCCATCTGACAGAAAATGTCAGAAGAGACATGAAGACTACTTGGAGCAGAAGGAGTCCACGTAGGAATCTGCAGCCAGCTCACCTCCATGCAGGTACCTGTCCAGAAAAAGAAAGGCATCATTTAAAGCAGGGACAAGGAAACTCTGCTTAACTGTAATTATGGTCTGCCCTTTGGGTCAGGGTTACTCAGAGGGCAAAACTGGGTGACAGACTGCTTCACAGTTCAGAAAGGCAGTTTTCAGCATGCAAGTACTTGATAAATTGCCTGTAATATTCTGAACTCACCCATTCTTATAGTTTCTCTTTTCCTTAAAATCTATCAATATTTATAACAATTGATGTAGTCAGGTTAAACAGATCAAGTAAGTTTATAGAATCATAGAAGGGTTTGGGCTGGAAAGGACCTTAAAGATCATCTGGTTCCAACCCCCCCCTGCCATCAGCAGGGACATCTTCCACTAGATCAGGTTGCTCAGAGCTCCATCCAACCTGGCCTTGAACACTGCCAGGGAGGGGGCAGCCACAGCTTCTCTGGGCAACCTGGGCCAGTGTTTCACCACTCTCATGGTGAAGAATTGAGCCTTAGCTGCTCCAGGCAGAACACCCCCAGCTCCCTCAGCCTGTCCTTGTAGGAGAGGTACTCGTACTCCAACCCTCTGATCATGTTCGTGGCCCTCCTCTGGACCCGCTCCAACACATCCATGTCCTTCTTATGTTGGGGACTCCAGAGCTGGATGCAGTACTCCAGGTGGGGTCTCACAAGAATGGAGGATACGGTTGGCTTTCCGGGCTGCAAGCGCACATTACTGGCTCATGTTGAGCTTCTCATCCACCAGTACCCTCAAGTCCTTCTCCTCAGGGCTGCTCTTAAACCACTCTCCACCCAGCCTGTACTTGTGTTTGGGATTGCCCCGACCCACATGCAGGACCTTGCACTTGGCCTTGTTGAACTTCATGCAGTTCATGCAGGCCCACCTCTCCAGCAAGTCCATACCTTGCTGCTGAAACAGACCTCTGTTAGAAGACCACCACTAACTTCCAGTGATAAGAAGTTGGTCCGATACCCAGGGAAATTGTTCCAATAGTTAATTACTTTGTTTAAAAACGGCCTTACTTCTAATTTGAATATACATGGGAATTTAGCTTCCAACAACTGCTTGTTATGCCATTCCTAAACTAATGAGCTCTCTGGACAGAAAAATATTTTATGCTAGTCAATACAGAGTTAGGGGAAACTGGTCCTGTAATATCATCAGGAAATGAAACCAGGTATGACACGCATTGGACAGACATAAGCTGCTTAGACACTTTTGTAAGACATTTGACTTAGAACATATTAAAATGCTGCTCTACTATTATTGCTCTATTAAAAATAGCTCTACTGAATATCAGTGAAGCACAAACACAAGAAGAACTAGACTGACAAATCAAGGAGGAGTTGCAAGTGGGAAATCATTACCATTTGAATGTTTTATGTAGCTCTGGGGGGGTGAGCGTAGGCCCAATGCTATGGGTTTTTCTAAACAATTTCAACAATCTAGAAGCAAATACAAAATAACTGATGATAGCGCATACACGAACTGTCAGGCCTGGCAGGCAGGGAAAGCAGAACCATCAATAAAAACAAATCTGAGTCACTTTGTATACTGCTCCCATTCAGACAAAGCACTTCTTGACACATTAATACATATTTAAGCACATACAGTGCAGGCCATATTTACCTAATGAAATTTATAATGGTATTTATTTATAACAGCACTGCTGAAAAACTAACAGAAACTACTGAACATGAGCTGTGTCCTGCCGTCTCTGAATCGCTGGAATAGGCCGGTGTGATCACCGAATACATCAATAAAGAAGGAAAAGAAGAGGTAAAACCATCATACAGGCTTTGGAGAAACCAGTGTGATATTCTTTAGCTACTTGTTACATCCACACTAAATGACTGTAATACTGAAAAGAGAACAATGAAGAACAAGAGAATAAATTTGCAGGTTGAACTCCTCAAAAGCAAAACATGTTTTGCTACCAGTTTCAGCCGACAGAAATCCATGCCGCTAACGAAAGGCTGGCTCTCTTGGCTACATTTTCCACTTATTCCCTTGCAAGAGTTCAAACAATCACAGGGCTGTGATGATTTTGTTCATAAAAAGGATCTGCCAGAAAGACTTCCTCATCTCCTTGGTGGTCCACTCTGTCAGGCAAAGCTCAAAGTCAGCCTGCAGGCCCACCACCATTGGCACTGTGCCGGGGGAAGCAGTGGGAGCACTTAGCCAGCCACTCGCAGGGACACAGGTGGGAGCAGCACCTTCTCCCAGCAGTCTGCCATTACACAGTGTGTGGACAGGCCCCCCCATGTACACACCTGGTCTTTTTTCTGGCTCAGTGATGGGAACAGTGGAAAGTGGGCACTATCCCTTCTTGTGACGGCATGGTTTTAGACATGGGAAGTAATTAGACAATCCTCAAATGCTCATTCTACCAAAAAATATCTATAGAAAACCTCATAAGACTAAAATAGCTTTCAGAAAAGAGTATACTAAGCACAAAAAAAAAAAAAGAAAAAATCTTTCCCCTAGAGCAGAAAAACACAACAAGAACCATAAGGTAGAATTTAAACCAAATATTCAAATAAGGCAGCATTTGAATGGTGGAGCTGCAGTTTGGCTTTAGCTGTGCTGTCAAGCTGTATTGCAATGGCTGGCTGCCAGTGGGAAATATGATCTGATCCAATTCCACCCAATCCGTCTCCTGCCAAAACAGTTTAAAATCTGGTTATTTTCAGTACAGTCATCTCTCTGATCTGACATGCCAAGTACGGCTACAAAAATACTTGTGCCAGTACGATACAGGGTTGGGCACCGAGGCAGAAACGAGCCTGCTTACAACAATGACTGCAAAGCAAGGCCAAGGAGTTCTTGCAGCACCAGCCAGACATCATAAGCACAAATGTAGAACATTTTCCTTTTTTAAGAACATTACCCATAATTATAATAAAGTGTTTCTGACACACACCATTGCTAAGACTTGACCCCTTACACCCGATACGTCCAACACATTTGTTCAGCGGGACTTACAGTAACTCTAGTTTCCTTTTACGATTCATAGACTCAGTATTAGTTAGGTTATAAAAGACCTTTAAGATGGAGTTAATTCATTGTACTTTATGCCCGATAATTTGCATTAATTGCTCTCAGCTGCACTCCTTTAGACCCTTTTTAAAATTCTAGTTCATACATTCATTTTTCATGAAGTACTATATAATAGCTTGTGATGAACATTTACCGACAAACTTGTCCTAAATTCCCATTTCTTTAAAAATTGACCATCCCAGCTTTAAACAGAAACTAAACAAGTTGGGTCATGTTCCACCATCCCCAAACTCTATTCTGAAAAAGACTTCATTTCCCATCCCTCTTTTAGCTGGAGCTGATTATGGATCAAACTAAAAACTCCCAAAGCAAGGCATGATAGCAGTGCTTCGCTTTACATCTCTGATTCTAGGTGGAAGAACTTGCTGTATGAACCCAGTTAAAAAAATAAAAAACACCACATGATCTGATGAGAACACCACAATGAACAAAAAAATTACTTACTGTTTCTTACAAGGCAGTTTAAATCCTGTTGGGGGGAAGAAACAAGAATATTACTCTCGGAATAGAAACTGGATTGACAGTAATTTGCTTCTGCTTGGTGGTAGGAAGAAAACAATTCAGTAAATAGCAATGCATACAAACTGGAAGAATTAGCCACCAGGAATCATTGCACAAAGTTGTTAAGCAGAAAAGCAGAGGACACAGGGCATGAAATCTGTGCACACCTGAACTGCGTATGTGACAGCAGTAGTTGCAATAACGGAAAGAAATTGGAAATAATGGAAAGAGGCAAAAATGCGAGATTATGATAGCAAAAACCTTCCAAAATCCAGGACTGTTGAAACAGAAGCCAGTGTGACATGACAGACTGCCTGAAGTAGATGGGTACGGTTTTCAAACACCGCTGCTTTAAGTTACTACTGCCCAGTACTGATCCTGCTGGTAATGCTTGCAAGGTCAAAGCCAACCTGACTGGAAGCAGGAGCCCTCTGCAGTGAGGCTTGCCACTGAACTTCTGGGTTATGTGGAGCCTACTGCAGGGCATCCCCTTCATCTTATGTTTGGGTTCAAAACCACCACGCAATGACACTCTAACAACTTAAATTGGATCAATGAGTAGCAGCACACAGCAATGAACGGTCCCGTATGGCCTCAGGAGAAAGGCTGCATCAGTTACAGCTGGTCTTTTTCCTGATGCCTCTTAAGAAGCAGGGAAGGGAAAAGACAACATCTAGTAAGCACCAGGCTTCTAAGTAGGACACAGTGGCCTTACTTTCTGGAAATATATTTGAAAGGCAACCCATGAAGGAAAAAAAAAAAAATTAATCTGCACTAAACTCTTTCATATTAAGGATAAAGATGTCCTGAACATAAAGCAGCAATCGGAACTTATGTGGGCTCTGCCTGGTTTCCCCCAGGCATGTTTTGTTTACACTGGAAGACCCCATGGTCACCAGCAAGAGTCATGTAAGCTTGCTTGGTTAATGTGCTGAAAAATCCTAGCAATAAGGAAGTCTGAAGTTTTCACTGACTCGATAAATCAAGCTGAGGGCTAGGTTTCCCCTCACTCGTTTCCTGTGCCTTGACATATAAAGGTGGACGGTATTGTCACCCTGTTGCCACAATGTAATTCACTCCAGTGGAGCAGGCAAAGCAGCAGGGTTTTTAACCTCTCTGCAACTTGCTAAGGTCAACTCCAAGTGTATTTGGGGCTTAGCTTATTAATGCAGTGTAGCCATGGCTATCCGAGGTTGTATTTATGTTTTCAGGAATGGGTGCTTGAAAAAGCCAGCTGTGTGTTTTTGGTAGTGAACATGCCCTCCAGCATGGCACGGAAAGCTCAAGTTTCATTGACACCGAGTTGGCATCAGACACCATCACTGCCTCCCTTCACTCACACCCTAGCGCTGCAGCCTGCCCTGTGCTGGCACAGCCATGGGTGAGACCACACAGGCATCTGGCTACAGCCTGAAGCCAACTCAAGGGGAGGAGGGCAGGCGAGCTGCGAACCAGATCTTCTGCCCTTCTGCACCTCTGCTCCTGCTTGTACGGGAGAGGCTGTGAGCAGTCCACCAGGCCTCAGAGGAAAGGGGGCCACTGCTCCTTCACGGCTGTGCTAGCTTCAGGCTGCTTAAAACAGGACAGAACTACATTCTACCTTTAAAGGAGTCCTAGTGAAGGCAAAAATCACATCAATTAATAAGCTTTCCATTATTTGAAGGAAATCCAAACTATAAGCAATTGGTGAAATTGGCTATCATACAAGCTGTGCTAAGCAATTTATATTCTACATGAGCAGAATTCTACTGCTTATGAGAAATATACTTCGGGTATTAATGCTCACATATCAGCTAATGTATCTGAGTTCCTACAAACCTTGAGTGAAAGCAGGCATATTTGGCATTAAGCTCCTCATGCTTATATAAAAAAAATAAAACCTGAAAATCTCTTCCAGGCTTTTGTTACATGAGTCAAAGCAATACACAGGTATAAATCCAGTCTTCAGGCACCCTTCACGAGTAACACATCCACACTCCAATAAGCAGTACTACAAACATACCCAAGATATAGGTATATTGAAAAAGATTCAGTGCAACACCCAAGTTCTGCAGTATTGACCAATATTATTATTGTTTAGGAAACATTTCAATCAGTTCAAATGAAGGAATCTGCCTAATTGGCCACCCTCAACTTCTAAATGTACACAAATCTATATAACAATTTCCCTGAGAAATGAATGTTGGTTAAGAATTGTTTTCTTACCAGCCAGCTAGCAACACTGTATTTTTCAAAATGAAATCATCTTTGCTGCACTAAGCTAGGACTAAGGCAGCATCCCACAGAACAAATATTCTGATTATTTCACACAGTTAATCAAAGTTTCTTTTATAAATGAGGAGGAAAGGGGGATAAACGGTGGCACACTTCATCTTTCCTTGCCATTCCCCCTTTCCATTCTTGCCCTTTCTCCCCCAACACCCAGATGTTAGCAGCTCACCTGCAGAAGCCACCTGCCTTCTCCCTCAATCTTCTGGAAGTGTTCAGCTCACTGTGGAATCCCCAGCCTCACGCCCAGGTTGCAGCACTAACAACTCTGGCAACACCCAAACAGGGTCTTGCTAGATGGAAGTCCTGGGACAAATGGCCCTGAAAACTGTGTAGCACTGCCCTGCCCGTGGCAGAGCAGCTCTAACAGAACCAAGAGCAAAATATATCTATGAACGTCACGTCAGTGTGTAACTACGTGTAAGAGGTACTTTTCACTATTTTTGTTCTGCTCAAAAGGTCAAACCAGCCACAACTAGGTGAATCAACTTGATCAATCTGAATATAAATACAATTTAGTTTGAACTGTGCTTTCACAATTATACTTCACCTCATTATTGCAGACAAATGTACAGACAAATCCTCCACTGAGTATTTAGATCCTGTCAGACTTAAAAAAGAATGGTTACAAGTATAGTTAATAGAAATGTTATTGCAACTTTGTACCTCCCAAACCAGGCTTTCTATCCCCTATTCCCCCACCCCAGAACACTCCCACACAGCAGCTGCCACCTAAATCCTTTGATAATGGAAAAAAACCTAGAAAGCAAGCAAGTAAATGCTGATTAAACCAAACCAAAACTAGCTAAACTACAATCACTGAAAAGGAGAAAAATATATTATAACTACCAGTATGGAAAAGCAGATTAAGCTATGGAAAATGAAAAAAATCACTCCTAATGCTTAAAATGTTTAATCAGACTTTCTTAGGCAAATGATTTAGCCTGATAACGCCCCTTGCATAAACAGGTGCCGTGCTTTTGTCTGGCGTGGAGTTACTGGTCTGCACAGCAGCTGGCACCGTACTGTGTTTTCGATTTGTGACCAGAACCGTGTTGACAACATAAGGATGTTTTAGCTATTCCGGAACAGCGCATACACAGCATCAAGGCCTTTTGTGTTTCTTACACTGTTCCCCTCAAGGCTGGGGGTGCACAAGAATTTGGGAGGGGACAGCTGCCCCCACCTGACCAAAAGGACCTTGTGCTCAGCAGTTAAAGCCGGGGGAAGGGGGAGACATTCGGAGTTACAGGATTTGTCTTCCCAAGTAACTGCTACATGCGACAAAGCCCTGCTTTCCTGGGGATGGCCAAATAACTGCCTGCTGATGGAAATCCATTCCTTATTTCTCTTTGCTTGCACACACAGCTGTTGCTTTACCTATTAAACTGTCTTTATCTCAATCCACAGGTTTTCTTGCTTTTGCCCTTCCAATTCTCTCCCCATCCCACTGATAGGAGACAGTGAGCAGCTGTGTGGGGCTGAGCTGCCTGCTGAGGTGAACCCACAACAGGCAACAAAAATAACTGGGTAATAACCATGAATTTTTGTTTGCAATTTAATGACTTCTGTTAAAACCTATCACTTAATACTCAATCATTTTGTCCTTGTGCTGTTGCAGTTATCAGTAATTACGGTAAATTGCATCATGATAAAGCCTTTATATAAATTATAAGGCATTATTTGCCTGAAGAGCAGCACCATCTGCTTCCATTTGAGTGCTGGTGTTTCTGCTTATTAGCAGATAAGACAAGGTTAAATGAGGAAGTGCTGCATTTACCCTTTTTTGTTTTATGATTGATACGAATATTGAACCAGCACAGCAGATAAATGGATTCTTTCTTCCTCCAGGTCTGTTGTCCCAGGTAAAGTGTTTGCAATGATGTTGCCAGCATCGATGAGGTTGTGCCCTTTCTGATGTTCATTAAAAAGCCAAGAGCTTAATCAGAAACCATCAGTCAGCGGATGAGGATTCAGAATTGAAATTGATAATTAATGTATCTCTTACTTTTCAACACTGGGGTTCTACAGGGACAAACAACAATAGTTTCTGGCATGTCACTATTCCCCAGCCCTGCTCAGGATTTTCAAGAGGCAACCTACATATGTTTTTTTTCCCTACCCCACACTAGCCTGTGTATCCACTGTGCCAGTACCATTTTTGCATGTGTAGCTGACCACGTTCCAGTGTTCTAAGCTGCCACCAGTTACTTGAGAATTCAGCATGTTTACTACAAGAGGGGAGGAAGGATTCTCCCACTACACAGCAGCCTGCACCAACTCAGTTGTTGGTCCACTCCCTTCCCAATATCCAGAGCACTACAGGGATGACCTAGCAGCCCACAACGCCCAGAACAATTCATCCAGCCAGGAAGTCCTCGCTGTTGGCATAAGGAAGCAAAGATAACAGAAGGAGAAGGTAAAGCCACAATGCAGGCAGAGATATAGCAACCCCAAAGGACACCTAAAAAGCAGCCACCTTGAAAATCTTCATCTCCTTTTTAGATACTGCCCAGGTGAACTGGGCTGGGCTGCAGCTGAGGACACACTTTTACACCAAGAAAGTGTAACTTCAGAGAAGGACATCCATAAGCCAGGAAGTAATCAAAGACAAGTCAGTTTTGCAGTAAAGTCAACCACTTCCAGATTTGCACTGGCTACCACCTCAGCACCAGAGGGGATGCTTGCTGGTTTTCCCTTG